AGAGTTGACAATGGATCTGTCTGGAAAGATAAAACTAAAGGAAAAATCTTGTACAGCAATTAACCACTAAGAAGAATATATGCAGTGTATTATTTGTTGAAAAAAAAAAAACTAAAGGAAAAGCTTTTAAAAATAAATTGCTAGAAATTTTTAAGAAATAAAAACAAATCCAATTGCTTTAGGAATGTGGATCTTATTTTACATATGCATTACTTGTTAGTCTTGAGACAATTTGTGTAAAGATTACAACAACAGAAGCAGGAACTCTAAATATTGATCTAATTATAATTAACCTTCATGTTATCAATCAAAAGTGAAGGCTGAATCAGTTTAATTTATCAGGCACATCACGTGAAGAATTTTCCTAGAATGAGTGTTAGTAGTGATTTTAGGGTTATAGTTTAATTCAAGATGAGTGAAAGAAAAGCTGAAGCAAAGGGACTCATTCAAATTTTTCTTCAAATTCTGGATCACTGGAAGGAGTAACAAGTGATAAGAAGGCTGAAAGCTCCAATCATAGGAGGTTTTCACATTGAAACAAACCGTTGCACTTACTTGCCCGCCACACACTGCGCCCACTTCAACAGCGCCTTCTTGGCGTTTCCCGGGATCTTGGTGGCCACCTTGCGCTTACTCGGCGGACTGGCTGCCTCGGAGCTGACGGTGCTGTCCAGAGAGGACGCGCTACTGGACAAGGACTGCAGCTGCGGCAGGTTGCTGGTCAGCTCCTCAATCTGCGTGTAAGTTAACAGCCAGCAGAAACATCAGAAGGACCTTTGTTCTGCTTTCCTCAGAGAGTTTCCTCTTGTAACTACAAATGATTTACCTTACAATCCTTAACATCCCTGACATAACTTTCTACAGCACCTCTAATTGTATCTGACACATAATAAAAAATATTTGTCCAAATACTGATGACTGAATACTGTGCTCTGGATGTTTTGAGCTTATGCCCCAAGGGTTCCCAGGTGGGAAGCCTGAGCCCCTGGGTGGTGATGCTGGAGACGGTGGACTTGAGGAGATGGAGCCTAGTGGGAAGACACTGGAGAGGTTCTCTGAGAAAAAGGAGTTCATATAATTTTTTCTTTACTTTTTCTTCATTAGTTCTCATGAGAGGGCTGTTATACAAGAGCAAGCCTAGCACTTCTGTAGCCTCTCTACTTCCGGTCTCACCGTGTGTCCTGTCCCTCCTGCACTCACTCTGCCAGGAAGCAAAAGCTGGCTCTGAGCTGCTGGAACTTTCAGTCTGCAAAACTGGGGTTCTCCATAGACATTTTATTTGTAGGTTACTCTGCCTCTTTACATTGTTGTAGCAACGGGAAACAGATCAATACCATCAATAAACTAAAACTAAAGGTTATACAAATGTATTATGGCAAATTATTTTGCCATCATGTTTCATACTACCTAGAATTCCTCTTTACCAGAGGAAAAAATATTACTTATTCCTTAGCTCCTTATATTTCATCTCTATTGTGACATGTCCACCTTTCAGATTTAATATCTTTGTTGGAGTTCTTTTTTTTTTTTT